AGTGAGGGTATTTTTTTGTGGAGAAAGTGGACTTCAATGGGACAGGAAGTGAGGGTATTTCCATAGAGAAAGTGGGCTTGACTGGGACAGGAGGTGAGAGTATTTCCTTGGAGAAAACACACTTCACTAGAAAAGGAAATGAGGGTACTGAACAGGGAAAGAACGTGATGTTATTTCACTGGTACATGAAGTGATGGTATTTCACTGGGACAGGAAGTGAGGGCATTTAAGTAGAGAAAGTGAACTTCCCTGGGACAGGAAGTGAGGGCATTTCTGTGAAGAAAGTTAATTTTCCTGGGACAGGGAGTGATGGCAATTCCATGGAGAAGGACTTCACTGGGACAGGAAGGGAGGTTATCTCCGTGGAGAAAGTGAATAGTATATGTTATATCTGTGAAATAGTTAATAGTTCTATCCAAAACTGATATTTCACATTTGGGTTTGCATCAATGTGTTTAATCACCTTCTCTTTTCTTATACCTCTTCCAGACCCCAAAGGTGAAGATTAGAGATGAGCGAATCGAACATGATGAAGTGGAATTCGTTTCGAAGATTAGGAAAAAATTCGATTCGCGCCGAATCCGAAAATTAGCAAACTTCGGATGCACGAATCTAATTTTCCCAAAAAATGGCGGCGACATGTGTGGCGATGGAGCGGGGATCTCTGGGAAGGCGCGCAGACAAGGCGCACTGACCCATAATGCATTCATTCATGACATGTGATCGCATTAGCCAATCAGCAGCCAGCCAGCCAGCACTGTGTAATGGTGGAGCTATAAATCGCGGCCATCTTAGAATTCTCCATTAGCCTCCGGTCATTCAAGAGAGACAGACCTGTCTGTATTAGGGACAGAGTTAGGGCCACAGAGACTTTAGGGCCACAGAATCGTTACTCAGGGACACAGAATCGTTACTCAGGGACACAGAATCGTTACTCAGGGACACAGAATCGTTACTCAGGGACACAGAATCGTTACTCAGGGACACAGAATTGTTACTGAGGGACACAGAATCGTTACTCAGGGACACAGAATCGTTACTCAGGGACACAGGGCAATCGTTACTCAGGGACACAGAATCGTTACTGAGGGGACACAGAATTGTTACTCAGGGACACAGAATTGTTACTCAGGGACACAGAATCGTTACTCAGGGACACAGAATCGTTACTCAGGGACACAGAATCGTTACTCAGGGGACACAGAATCGTTACTCAGGGACACAGAATTGTTACTCAGGGAATTGGTTAACAGGACACAGAATCGTTACTCAGGGACACAGAATCGTTACTCAGGGACAAAGAATCGTTACTCAGGGACACAGAATTGTTATCAGGGACACAGAATCGTTACTCAGGGACAAAGAATTGTTACTGAGGGACACAGAATCGTTACTCAGGGACACCGAATCGTTACTCAGGGACATAGAATTGTTACTCAGGGACACAGAATCGTTACTCAGGGACACAGAATCGTTACTCAGGGACACAGAATTGTTACTCAGGGACACAGAATCGTTACTTTCTGCTTCACAACCACTATTGTACGTTCAAAGAGTTAAATCCTGTTTTATGTTTGGGGTGCTTATTGAATTAAAGAGTATGTCAGACAACACGCAGAGGAGTGGCAGAGGAGGCAATGTTTCAGGAGCGAGCAGACATGGCAGCAGAGGAAGGGGTCGAGGCAGCACTAGTCGCAGCCCAGAGGCCAGTGCTCCCGGTTGTCATCCAGCGGTCGTGTCTCCACCGACAACCCTGCCGTCATCGATTGGTTGACTCCGTCGTCTTCCTTCTTCCCAGGTCACCTCTGACACCTACAGCCAACGGTCGGTGGGTACGTCAGACACAACCGTTAGTTGGCATGGCCCGGGAGCAAGCCCACTGAAATCACGTGTCCTCTACCCTGCCCCTGTCCTTTGGTGTTCCCTCACCAAGCGAAGTATCGCATGCTGTGGGCTCAGCCCCACTGTACAGTGAGGAAGAGCTAACAGAGGGCGGTCAGGAACAGGGGGGAGACATCCGCCTCTTCAGCAGCCAGGCGAAGAAGTACTGGCAAGGAGAGTGGCTCGGTAGCCGGTCTAGAGACAGGTCTGTCTCCTGACCCACACGCAGCCGAGGGGGCTAGTAGTGACGCCGGAGACCCTAATTGATGATGATGAGGCTGATCGCACTTGGCAGCCTCGTCGTTATCAGGCTATTGCTTCCGCATCATCAGGAGAAGAGGGTGCCAGCTTGCCAGCGAGCAAAACAGTCGGTGGGTTGCCCAGGAGGCAGCAGGGTCGCAGCAGTGTCAGTGGTGGCCAACGGCCACGGAGTAGAGCACCAGCTCCACTGCAGCCTACCACCACGGCCAGTAGTGGTGCTGGTGTGCACGGAGGAAGTAGCAGTCAGCCAGTGAGGAGTATCGGGGGGCAAAGTTTCCTACTCGGCGGTGTGGCAATTTTTCGTCAAGCCGCCCGAGGAAGTAAACGTAGCAGTATGTCGACTATGTGGCCAGAAAGTCAAGCGTGCCAGGGGGCCCATGTTGGGACTACAGCGTTGCGTCAGCAATATGCAGCGTCGCCATTCGGTGGCCTGGGAAAACCGTGATAAAGATACGGCGGTTCTGCCTGCCCCAGCCGCCGCTCCATCACCCGCTCCGTTACTTGCTCCGTCACCCGACGTCAATCGCCCTCTATCAGCCAGTCAAGGCTCCAACACCTCTGCTGAGGGGAGTTGTCGCTCGTTGGCATCTTCCGCTCGGTCAGATGCTCCTTCTCCTACTACTCCTCTTCACGGATTCCGTCAGCAGTCTTTCTTGGAATCCGTTTCCAAGAGACAACAGTTTGCGAGCACGCACCCGACGGTGCAGAAGCTGAACGTCCTCCTGTCCAAGTTGGCCTGGTGCTGCAGTCCCTCCCTTTCCAAGTGGTGGACTCTCAGCACCTTTTCCGAGAAATGATGGCTTGTGCCGAGCCGCGGTGGAGAGTGCCAAGCCGGCATTTATTCGCCAAAAAAGGCAGTGCCAGCCTGCATTCACATGTAGAAGAGATGGTGGGCCAGTCTTTGAGCATGTCGGTCTCTGCCAAAGTGCACTGGCAGCGCTGACGTGTGGAGCTGTAACTACGGTCAGGGACAGTACATGTCATTTACGGCCCACTGGGTGAACGTGGTGCCGGCACAGCCGCACCAGCAACTTGGACAGGTCACGCCGCTTTTGCCTCCACGTTTGCACGTCCTTGGTCCAGCAAAGATGTCCGCCTCTACCACCTCTTCTTCCGCCGTGTCCTCAGCCGCCACCCCCAGTGCCAAGTCCCATTACCACGACCGGCATATCACATGTGCAGGCGCAACGGTTTCACGCTGTGCTGCACCTGGTATGCCTTGGCGAACGTAGTCACACAGGGGAGGAACTTCTCAGTGTAATGAACAGAGAAATCGACAGATGGCTGTCTCCGCGCGCAAAACTGAAAATCGAACCATGTTGACCGACAACGGAAAGATACATGGTGTCTGCTCTGCGTCAAGGAAGGTTGTGCCATGCGCCATGCATGGCTCACAGTGTTCAATCTGGTTGTCAAGCGGGTTCCTAAAATCCACCATCCCACTGCAAGACATCCTTAAAATGTCACGTAAACTTTGCATGCATTTCAGCCATTCCTACACCGCAAAGCACAACCCTCCTTGAGCTGCAGCGGCAGAAGTAACGGATTCCACAGCATCGCCTGATCTGCGACGTTGCAACAAGGTGGAATTCAACCCTACACATGTTAGACCGCCTTTACGAACAGCGAAAGGCCATCACCGATTTCCTGATGTTACAAGCGGATAAAGGTACTCCCCTGTGTAACTTCGATGTCAGCCATTGGCAGCTCATGCGTGACACCTGCCGCTTGCTCAGCCCTTTGAGGAGGCCACGCTATTCGTGAGTCGGCAGGACTATGGGATGAACGACGTCATTCATCTGTTGCACGTCCTGGAACAAATGCTGTTAACAATGGCTGGTCAGGTGCGGTAGACGTGGCGCACAGATCTCAACGCCACATGACCCCTGTGGGGGACAAGGACAGGAAGAAGAGGAGGAGGAGGTAGAGGAGGACATTGGTGCTCAGGAATTATTGAGTGAAATGGGTGTTTTTTCCCACTCAGCGGACAGGAGTGAGGAGCAGGAGCATCTGGTAGAGGAGGAGGAGGAGGACAGAGGACCCAGACGCACCGGGCAGTTATGCTGTGGAGATGGAGGCAGGGAGTTCCTCGCAATTCCTTGGCACAAAATGGCCCATAGCATGCTCGGTTGCTTGCGTAGGCGACAGCCGAATAAAAACCATCAGACAGAAGGGATGACTTTTGGCTGTCCACCTTTGTTGGACCCTCGCTACCGTTCAAAAATGGTGGCCTTTTTCACACCTGCTGAGAGGGAGGCCAAAATAAAGTACTATAAAAAACCACCTACTGTAGTCAGTTGGTCTCTGCCTTTCTGCGCCAGACGTCCATCCTCAGAACTCTGTGGGCCCTGTGCGCTCGCGTTCCGCTGCCGATGGCAGCAGGGGGAGGGGGGGGGTGGGGGTGGTAGGAGCAGTGGCAGCTCCACCAGCAGCGGCTGCCTCAGTCTGCAGAGTCGATGATGAGTAGCTTTCTTCACCAGCGCAGTGAGGAAACTACTAACCAGCCGCAGCAGCAGCAGCTCATCAGGTGGACCTGGAGCAGGACCTCAAAACAACAGGCTCGGGGCCTACTTGGACAGCACCCTGCCAACCGAGGTAGACAATCCCCTTGACTACTGGGCAACGAAACTTGACCTTTGGGCCCCAACTAGCTGAATTTGCCCTTGAAAGGCAGTCATGCCCGGCCAAGTAGCGTGGCATCGGAGCGCGTGTTTTAGTGCGGCAGGAGGTATTGTAACTCCGCGGAGGACACGACTGTCCACCCAAAGTGTGGAGAGACTCACGATTGTGAAAATGAATCAGGCTTGTGGATTAGTCTGGATTTCAAACCACCAGTTCCATGACACAACTGACTAAATCCGCCATGATCATGCCCCAAACATGTTATTATTTTTAACATAGTGCCTCTGTATGGCCTTCCAATTTAAGCTGCTGCTTACGCTTCGCCACTCTGCCATGGGCCCCTGTACCGCCTCCTCTTGCTGCTGCCAGGTCCAGAGTGTGTCCATGGGTCCCTGTACGGCCTCCATTGCTGCTGACTTCATCGCCAGACTCTGCCATGTGCCACTTTCAGGTCTCCTTACACTGTTGGTGGGTTCCAATTTTGTTTTTCCCCATAGTGGTGCTGTAATGGCCTTCCATTGCTGCTGCCTCCTACCTCACGCCACCCGGGTGCGCCATTGTGCCTCTGTCGTCTGCTCACGCTGCTGACGGCTTCCGCTTTTTTCAACCGAGGCCTGTGTTTGGCTTCCGAATACTGCTGCATCTCTCACCGCCACCCTGCGCCATGTGTCTCTGTCGTCTGCTCACGCTGCTGACGGCTTCCGCTTTTTAACCTAGGCCTGTGTATGTCTTCCGAATACTGCTGCCGTCCACCGCCACCCCTGCGCCATGTGCCACTTCAGGTCTCCTTGACACTGTTGGTGGGTTCCATTTTGTGATAGGGTGCTGTATGGCCTTCCATTGCTGCTGCCTCCACCGCGCCAACTTGCGCCATGTGCCTCTGTCGTCTTCTGCTCACGCTGCTGACGGTCTTCCGCTTTTTAACCGAGGCCTGTGTTTTGGCTTCCGAATACTGCTGCATCCACCGCCCCCACTGCTGCTGCCAGGCCCCGTAATCTGTCATGGGCCCCCTGTACCCCCGCCTCCTCATGCTGCTGCCAGGTCAGAGTGTGTCATGGGTCCCCTGTACGGCCTCCCATTGCTGCAGTCTCCATCGCCACACTCTGCAATGTGCCACTTTCAGGTCTCTCACACTGCTGGTGGGTTCCATTTTGTCATAGGGTGCTGTATGGTCCTCCCATTGCTGCTGCCTCCACCGCCACACTGTGGCTCCACACTCTGGTTTTGGCCCCTGTTTGACTGCCCAAATGAGTGAAGTGTGCGGTGATTTCTAAGATCGACGGCACTCATCTGCATGTCATACTGACTGACAGTATTATTTCCTCTTCCCCAGCAGACTCCCAAGGGCATTTAAATTAAAGGTACAGTGTTTTCTGCACTAATATAAGGCTCTCTGAAGCCTAGAAACACCCTTTTTATAAGTTAATTCGCAAGTGAATATAATTCGCCTCGAATCGATTTTATTCCCGCCGAATTCGGCGAATGAGCCGAATCGAATTTTTGAATAATTCGCTCATCTCTATGTGAAGATTCTCAGCTATCATCTGTACTCTGTCCTTTCTTCTCCACCAAACCTTAATGAAAGTGTAGATCTACCTTACAAAGTGTCCACCCATGGAAGGGGTGTCACTGAAATAGGGCAGTGGCTTCAATAATTGAGCAGAAACGGCAGGGGTATCTCACCAATGCAGTCCACAAGAGATATCAGAATTCAGTTTTGTAGTTTAACTTTCAGCCACCACCCGGAAAAAAAAAAATCGCAGATACCAGTTTTTTGAAATTGGCTTGTAAACAAGATGCTGACATGACTCATTACTTAGTAAAAAAAAAAAGGATTTCAGATAACTGATCTTCGCGAAGACACGCACGCAGCCATCACCACAGTAGTTGCCAATCCGTCAAAGCAATTAACGGCCTCCTAAATGGAAAGCGTCCGAGGAGGAGAAAAGGGAACAGGTAAACCTAAACGATCCGGCCGCTTTAAGTCATATTCATTTATAAATCAGTCCGTTTGATCAATAACAGTAATTTTTGCTTAAATTATATAAGCCTCTCTGAACATATTGAGAGAGGAAGAAAGAAAGGGGTCGCCATGGAAACAGAATCGACATTACTAATGACGTTTGTGCTGTAGAGCAGCCACCCCTCCCACCTAGCAGTCACTCCCCCCCCCCCCCCCCCCCCCCGTTTTATCTGCATCAGCATGCATGGTGAATCCAGGACATGGTATAGATCTCAGAGTTGTCAAGTGAGCAGAAAGGATTGTGTAGGTTCCACCGGCTCAAAGAAAGATTGACAGCTCAGACGGCATCTCCGTGCAGATTACAAAACATTTTTCTACCAGCCCACCCCCAATCTCAGCTTCCCTTCAATTATATCAGCAGTCAGCGTTTGTTAATTTTAATTTGAAATAAGCCACCAGGAGGAGATCATGGCTTCTTGGTGAACTCATTATCATCGGAGATGTTTATGACTTGGGAAAATTGTTGTGTTGTACCGTTACAGGTAGGCATTAGGTCTTTGAGGCTGTCAGTGTAGTGCAGCAGCGCAGAACAGAGATGACGGTGGAATTGGTCAGTTTCTTTTTTCGTTTGTGCGAAGGGATTAAAGAAATAACAGAGAAGACAGCAAAGTATTTGGAATCAAATTCACCTCCCCCCCCTACCCACCTAGCTGCTTTGATCCCCAGTATTCCAGAAATTACGAAGGGCTCTTTCACAAGGGTGAATGGGGGCCAGTAAAAACAGGTAGCAAAGCCGTGGCTGTTTTACTGGGCACCCCCCAGTCGCCCACCCCAAATCCACACATGCCACGCCTGCAATGCTTTGCTTCATGATCGTGGCATTTTTAACTCAGGCTGCACAGTTTGAGAATCAATGCCACCTGTCAAACTTACCCATTGAGCTCAATGGAGCTGCACCACAACCTCAAGCAACAGACGCAATTTTGGCATGGTAGTGCGGCATTGCAAGATTAAATCAGGCGGCCAGAAGGCAGTATAACCTCCTCACCCTGTGGAGAGAATTTCTAAAATTGGAGCAAACATGATCTGGAGAAAATGTGCATTGTAACCAATCAGCTTCTAGCTTCAGCTTGTTCCGTTAAGAATTGAAAATGAAAGCAAGAAGCTGATTGGTTACCATTAGAGATGAGCGAATCGAACATGACGAAGTGGAATTCGTTCCGAAGATTTGGAAAAATTCTATTCGCGATGAATCCGAAGATTAGGGCAAACTTCGGATGCACGAATCGAATTTTCCCAAAAATGGTGGCGACATGTGTGGCGACGGAGAAAATGGACAGAGAAGATGGGGCGGGGATCTCTGGGAAGGAGCGCAGACAAGGCGCGCTGACCCATAATGCATTCATGACATGTGATCGCATTAGCCAATCAGCAGCCAGCCAGCACTGTGTAATGGTGGAGCTATAAATCGCGGCCATCTTAGAATTCTCCATTAGCCTCCGGTCATTCAAGAGAAACAGACCTGTGTGTATTAAGGGACAGAGTTAGGGCCACAGAGACTTTAGGGCCACAGAATCGTTACTCAGGGACACAGAATCGTTACTCAGGGACACAGAATCGTTACTCAGGGACACAGAATCGTTACTCAGGGACACAGTGTTCAGTGTTGTGCGCATTAAGCCAGACACCAAAGGGCAGCACAGACCTGTTATTACTCGCTCAAGCATGGCTGAACAAAACCAGTCTCTACCACAAATTGGACCCAGACCTGCCCAGGGTCTCGTAACTAGATTGCACGGAGGAGTAGAGTCCGTTATCGGAATTAAATAGACAAAACGCCACACCAAAAAGAGTGGCCATTTCCAACACTTATTCCAGAAAGAGGAACAACCCGTTTCATATACGGCCCGTAGATGTTTCACGTCTGCCACATTCAGTCGATTTAAGACGCAAGCTCCACTTCCTGTGGTCTCTGACCGTCGATATACCTTTAAGTGTCAGCTTTGAAGCTATATTCCCTCCGGAGCACTGACACTGGTGCCCTTCCGTCAACATGCCTTTAAGTTTCAGTTTTCAACCATATTCCCCACAGAAGCCAAACTCTTGGGTATCCCAGAAGCATCTCAGCGGGTCAGGGCAATAAAGCTCCCGGTTCGCAGGTTGTTCCGTCTTATGGATGGAAGTACGACGGTATATGATCTTCTTTGCACCCACGGCATTACCTCATAAAATTTCTGCATTGCATCTGCAATCACAACGCTGACTTCCCGGATCGCCACTCAGCCATTGGACTCTTGATAGTCGTCTCCCCACACTGCTGCTGGGGGGACTTTTTAACCTAGGCCTGTGTATGGCCTTCAATTGAAGCTGCTTCCGCTCCGCCACTCTGCCATTGGACTCTTGATAGTCGTCTCCCCACGCTGCTGCTGGGGGGACTTTTTAACATAGGCCTCTGTATGGCCTTTAATTGAAGCTGCTTACGCTCCGCCACTCTGCCATGGGCCTCTTGGGTATCCCAGAAGCTGCTCAGCGGGTCAGGGCAATAAAGCTCCCGGTTCGCAGGTTGTTCCGTCTTATGGATGGAAGTACGACGGTATATGATCTTCTTCGCACCCACGGCATCACCTCATAGAATCTCTGCATTGCATCTGCAATCACAACGCTGACTTCCCGGATCGCCACTCAGCCATTGGACTCTTGATAGTCGTCTCCCCACACTGCTGCTGGGGGGACTTTTTAACCTAGGCCTGTGTATGGCCTTCAATTGAAGCTGCTTCCGCTCCGCACACTCTGCCATTGGGACTCTTGATAGTCATCTCCCCACGCTGCTGCTGGGGGGACTTTTTAACCTAGGCCTGTGTATGGCCTTCAATTGAAGCTGCTTCTGCTCCGCCACTCTGCCATTGGACTCTTGATAGTCGTCTCCCACCACTGCTGCTGGGGGGACTTTTTAACATAGGCCTCTGTATGGCCTTCAATTTAAGCTGCTTACGCTTCGCCACTCTGCCATGGGCCCCTGTACCACCTCCTCTTGCTGCTGCCAGGTCCAGAGTGTGTCATGGGTCCCTGTACGGCCTCCCATTGCTGCTGACTTCATCGCCAGACTCTGCCATGTGGCCACTTTCAGGTCTCCTTACACTGTTGGTGGGTTCCATTTTGTGATAGGGTGCTGTTTGGCCTTCCATTGCTGCTGCCTCCACCGCCACCCTGCGCCATGTGCCTCTGTCGTCTGCTCACGCTGCTGACGGCTTCCGCTTTTTAACCGAGGCCTGTGTTTGGCTTCCGAATACTGCTGCAATCCACCGCCACCCTGCGCCATGTGTCTCTGTCGTACTGCTCACGCTGCTGACGGCTTCCGCTTTTTAACCTAGGCCGTGTATGGCTTCAGAATAATGCTGCCTACACCGCCACCCTGTGCCCATGTGCCTCTGTCGTCTGCTCACGCTGCTGCCAGGTCCATACTGATTCATGGCCCCCTGTACCGGCTCCTCATGAACGTGGTTCAGCGGGTTTGCATCACTTAAACGGCAAATCGTTGACAAACGCTGGGACGTTCAGTGTTGTGCGCATTAAGCCAGACACCAAAGGGCAGCACAGACCTGTTATTACTCGCTCAAGCATGGCTGAACAAAACCAGTCTCTACCACAAATTGGACCCAGACCTGCCCAGGGTCTCGTAAGTAGATTGCACGGAGGAGTAGAGTTCGTTATTGGAATTAACTGTGAGGGACTTTTAAAACCTAGGCCTGTGTATGGCCTTCAATTGAAGCTGCTTCTGCTCCGCCACTCTGCCATTGGACTCTTGATAGTCGTCTCCCCACGCTGCTGCTGGGGGGACTTTTTAACATAGGCCTCTGCAGGGCTTTTTTTCTCAGAGGAAAGGTGGTGGAAATCTCCCCCACCCAAAACCTGGCCACGCCCACCCATCAAACCCTAGGACCACCCCTTTAGAGAACAGGAATGCAAGTAAATTTGGGAGGGGCTTCCGATGACATCATTTCCCGTACATACCATTATAAGGGAAATGATGTCATCGGACCCCCGGCTGCCTCTTGCATGATCTGCATGAAACACATGCATAGATATAAAATGGACTAATGTACTGACACCAGAAACACATGCATAGATATAAAATGGACTAATGTTACTGACACCAGAAACACATGCATAGATATAAAATGAATACGTACTGACACCAGAAACACCACGCATAGATATAAAATCAGTACCGTACTGACACCAGAAACACATGCATTAGATATAAAATGACTAATGTACTGACACCAGAAACACATGCATAGATATAAAATCAGTACCGTACTGACACCCAGACCAAACACACGCATAGATATAAAATCAGTACCGTACTGACACCAGAAACACATGCATAGATATAAAATCAGTACCGTACTGACACCCAGAAA